AGCCAGTGTGAATCAAGACAATATCACTCAAGTGATAGTCGGTACACTAGATACAGTAAAACATCATGGTTATATATTAGTAGTACGTTACTTCCTTTAACTATGGCATGTGGTTCACCGAAATGTTTAAAATCCATTCCTTTACCTCTGCTGAAGGGTTGTTGGTGCTGTCTTATACTACTTTGTAAAAAGTCTTGTTATATTTTTGCTGAAAGATATATTCTAAGGATATCCCAAGAGCTTAGTAAATACTAAACCCACTCAAATAAGGGGGAAAAAAAAAGATACAGAGAGTAAAGATATCTTGACAAAAGTCCAAAAATTATTGAAGTTTTTATCCTGAATCATTCTATTCTCTGTTTCTTCCTTTTATCTTTGGATAATTAGGAAAAGGAACTCTGATAGCTTCCTGTAAGTATAGCTAATTAAAGGATAATTTTAAGAGAGATATACATGAACATATAAGACCATATTCCTTGTTTATTAGGGTTTTATTTAGATTTGATTTGATTTTAGGTTCATTTAAACAGGTGGGTCCGCCCTCTCTGAGTTGGCTCTTTCAATACTCCAACAGAACAAAATTTTGATCTGAAGATTTTGTTGTATAATGGAAACTGGGTTAAATTTGGATTCCTCTAAAGTTCTGTAAGTTAGTTCAGAGTATGGTTGCCAAAAAATACCGAGCAATCACTGTGAGGTTCTTGTGAGCTAGGCTAGACTATGGAAATAAACTTCTCTGCCCCTCTCCACCCACACTTTCTACAATACAATGGTCCATCTGTGAGGTAAGAGGGACTAACTCCACTTTTAAACAGAGACTAATTTTTAGTCACTCATGTATTAGAAAAACTGTAAAATGAATGTCAAACTGCTTAGTCATTTCCTTCTTAAAATAATTGACCTAAAGTTCAGAAAAGGGCAAGAAAGGCAAACCATTAGGCACAGTAATAGAGGGATTACATTCAAAAGCAATTTTCTTTTAAATATTTTAAGTATTGCTGGTGTGTACAAGAGTCCTCTCCCCCATAACTTCTGATTCAGTCAATAAAATTTGATGTAGTAATCTAATTATAGTAAAGTGTTTAGAGAAAATGTCTAATTTATATCTATTTATCTTTATTTATATTTATCTATATAAAAATAGGAAGGCTAAAACATCAATATGAGAAAAGGTGAATAAATGCCAAGTGATCTAAAAGATGATACATCATTTCTAAGTTCTTGCTCTCTAATCTACTTCTTCTTTCCCCTAATTCTACCTATTGTAATTTAAGGACTATTATAGAGCTCATTCGATTGATATTCTCATACTGTTTGTATTAGGGGAATTTAGCTATGGACAAGGTGTCTTCAGTCTCCCTTTGGTTATTGAGGTCTCAGTGTTTCAAACATTGATTCTGAATCTGGATCCCTTGATTCCTAGAGATATGTGAAGATATTAAGGGGAATCTATGAACTTCACACAATATTTAATAAAGCTCCATGGACACTGAAGATTGTTTAGAACATTTAAGTTTTCCTAATCTGATCTCTCAGTCAATTGTCAAATTACTATCTCAGTTTCTCTGACAAGTCAATATGGACATTTGGTTAATATAGAATATTCCCTACAAAGGAAGTGACTATTCCTTCCTCCCTCTCTCCCTCCCTCGCTTCCTTCCTTCCTTCCTTCCTTCCTGTCTCACTCTGTTGCCCTGGGTAGAATGCAGTGGCTTCATCATAGCTCACAGCAACCTCAAATTCCTGGGCTCAAGTGATCCTCCTGACTCAGCCTCCCAAGTAGCTTGGACTGCAGGTGCTTGCCAAGATGCCTGGCTCATTTTTCTATTTTTAGGCTAGATGGGGTCGCTCTGGCACAGGATGGTCTCTAACTCCTGAGCTCAAATCATAGCCCTGTGTTGGCCTCCCAGAGTGCTAGGATTACAGGCATGAGCTACTGCACCCGGCCTGATTTTTTCCACCTTGTTTTTGAAAGGTTTGTAAATGAGAACTAATTCTACAAAGTTGAAAAAATATCTTTAAACACTGTTTTTTAATGTGACAAAATAAAGAAATATCACTAATTGTGTTTTAAACTGAAGACTTATGTCAGGAAAATTGTCATATTTTATTATGTTTTGAATCCATGTATAAACAATTCTCAAGGACTGGCTGAAAGGTGGTCCAGGAAATAATGGCACTGGAAGCTCCCCCAGTGGGACGTTGAAGGTTGCCAAGGTGGATCTCTTCCAGCTTTCCTCTACTCCCTTTTGTTGTTTAGTATTATCTTTCGTTTCACTGAATTCATCTCCTGTAAATCCATGGGCAGTTTCCTGGGAGGCTCTAGAAATGGCAGCTAGCTACAGGATAGAGGCATTAGACATAATTATTCCTTACCATGAATCTACTATGTTTCCTTCCAGAGGTATTAATTCAGACCAGGTTATGCCTAGCTGGGCAGTGGCCAGAGGAATTCAGACCACAGAGTACAGAGAGCATAAGGTAGTAATAACTGTATTTACCCAAGATACTTTGCCTGAAAGAACCCTTTCACAGCAGTGAGAAGGTCTGAGATGTGACCAGAAAGTAGGGCTGGCAAGATTGACTGCATCATTTCTCACCTTCCAGAAGAGTATCAGGCCATGGAACTCTTAATAAATCAGGAGAGCTATGAAGAAACAATTTGGAACACCATTTCTACATGTTGCTGCAAGCACAGTAACTCTCTCTAGCTATTGAATTGATTTAGGATTCTGGCAACCTTACAAATATGTATTTCTAAACTTGTATTCACTTCACTATTTTACATTTAAGAGAAGACCTAGAAAATAATGTTTAAAATATACAAAGAATTGGACAGAAAAATCATGTCTCAAAAAAGTTTGGAAACTGCAAAGACATGTAAATTTTTTATTTGTGAGAAGATGAAGGATAATGAAGTTAGTAAATTTACCTATATTTCCACTGTAAGGTTCTTATTTTGTAATTGTACATTCCAGGTGAAAATGCAGTATGACATTATTTTATTAAATTATGTTAAAAACTTGAGGTTGTGATCTGAAGAGCTGGTTAGTGATATTTCTCTGCAACCGATTTAAGGCATCCCAAACTTACTGCCAGCAGCATTACAAATATAAAGTATTTTTTCTACCTTTTTTGTAATCTAATAGATAAACTTGATGAGAGAGTGGTTCTTTGTCCCAGAAAGCAACATTCATATTGAAGGTATTTACTACTCGCAGTCCTAACTTTATGTGCCTCTATCTATGTTATTAAACAAATCCATCTTGGGGCTCAATCTAGTCTCTGATCCCTTTTCTTCTAACTCTTAGGACATGAAAAGAAGATGTGATATAATCTACTGGATCATGAGGCGTATTTTGATGACAAAAAACTGGGCTCCTAAAGTGGAAGCTATAGCTTTGAATATATGTACCTAGTAAACTTAGTTGAGGACTCCTAAGCACTTAAATGTCTTGAATATTTAAAGTAGGCCCTGGCCAACGCCTCCAGTCTTTGTCAACAGAAAAATGTATTCCATTCATTCAACATCTCTCTACTGAGTGGCTAATATTCGCTGGCACCCTGTTGGGCACTGTTCCAGATAGTCTTTGAGGGAAACATCGTTGGAAATATTAAGGAACACAAAAGAGTCAATAGGATGGAATAATTTTAACGTGGAAAAAATGACGTGGGGATCTATATTCCAGGTTTAAGAGGATTACTTTGAGGATGGGGTAGGTAGAGAGGGAATTTAGAAACCCGCTCCTCCTCTTTACCTTCACTGGGGAGTGACCATACTTTCAGCTCCTGGGTCTCAGGGTCAGGGCTGTGGGCCCAGCGGCTTGGAGATTTCTGTTAGTTGCTTCCTTGCCTTTTTTCCTCCCTTCTCTGCCTCCCTCATCCAGAATTAGGGTAGAATCAGCTGGAAAATTAAATCACTCACCCCCTTAATGTCAGCTCCCATAAATTTCTTTCTCCTCCGCCCTCAGAGTACAGTTCTGCTCTGTAAGATGCAAGCCCCTGAATGAACCTAGTGCTGAATTTAAACATTTAGTAGAGAAACCTCTCCAAAGAGAGCTTCCCTACAAACTCATGGTCATGGGTTTGGACCTCTACGGTCCTTCCATGCCCCTTTCATTGCTTCCTTCTAATTATCTGGCTAAAAAGGAATAAAAATACTTTTCGGAGTAGGCAGCGCAAGAAGTTCGCTGGTTCCACGTCTGCCACGCGAAGCAGATTTTTGCACAAGGATAAGGTTGCGGCTGCCAGCCCAGGACTCCAGCGGCGTGGCGGGTCGGATGCCGCGCTCCTCCCCTCCCCCGCAGACGAACAGGAGGCTAACAGACGGGCGCAATCAGACAAGCAGCTGCTTTTATTAAGTACAGCAGCTCCTTGAGAACTCCGTGCGCTCCGGGGCGCTCCTGCAATTCCCGTACTTCCCGAAGCGCTGGAGCCAAGCACACGCCCCGCGTCCCCCCCCGCCCCCCACATTTCGTCCCCGGGATTTGGGCGGGGAGGCGGGAGGAGAGGAGGGGAGGCTGGGGGCGGTCGGTGGGCCGGGCCTGCTCGGAGTCCGGCTCCCCCGCTGAGGCAGGGGGCGCGGTCGCGCCGCGCGGGAGCAGCGTGATTGGGCCCGACCCTCGGCCGGCTCGCGCGTTTCGCCCGGGGGCGGGGGCGGGGAGGGGGCTGCCGGGCCTCTCGTCCGGCCCACTGACGGCATGAAGCCTTTGGGGGCGCGCCGTGCTCTCAGCCTGCTGGTGGAAGCCCCTCATCCGCCTTCAGTCTGAAGGCAGCGCCCCGCAGAGCACGCATCGCAGGGTCCCGGCCGGCGGGGCCGCCGAGAGGGAGAGGAGGGGGCGACAGACAGGAAGGAAGCAAACCATCGAATTCCAAAGAAAGAGCCCCTTGACTTTGCCCCCTCTGCCTCCCCAATGGCTGTGTAGCAAACATCCCCGGCGACACCTTGAAGGGCCGAAGCGGGTCTGCTGAGTGCACAGCGGCGAGTGCGGGGCTCGGAGATGGAGCCGCGGTCCCCTAGGTGGAAAACGAGACGGTGGCTCTGGGATTTCACCGCAACGGCCCTGGCGTTGGCGTTCCTCCTCCAAGCTAGGGAGGTCAGAGGAGGTAAGAAAGGACGGATTTGCGGTGGTGGGAGTTGCCGTCGGTCTTTCTCCTTCTGCGCCCCCCTCTGTACGCTTCCTCCCCGCCTCCAAGGGGGAAAATTCCCCTAAATGAAAGCCAGACTGTAGCTGCTACCGGGCTGGAGGTGGAAACGGGAGAGAGGCAGAGAGATGGATGGAGGCGGGACGATGAGGGGAGAGGAGGAGGTGGCGGGGAAAAGAGCTGTCAGGCGCGCAGCCTGCCGAGGACGCCCTTTGAAAAGAGGAAAAGTATTACCTTGAACACTGGGGAGGTGAGACGAAGCTCTCGTTTGAGGAACAGTCTGCCCTTTGAACACATCTTCTGGTTTCTTCTGGTTCTAACTGATGGGAATGTCTTTTTCAGGGTGAGCTGAGGAGAAAATACAGAGAAAGGGTATAAAATGAACCTTGATAAAGTTCTTTGTCTGCAACAAAATGAGAAACAGGCTGTTTCACTTTTGGGGATATCAGAGAAACCAGGGGGTGAATCTAGATGATTAAGAACACTTTGTGTGTGGGGGGCGGTGTTTGGCTTTTTAAGCCATTTTAAGTGGACAGAAATCGGCAGATTGTCAGGAACGCGTTCGAGGTAGGGAGAACACCTTCCGGCGAATTCCAGTCCCCTCCTCCCCCCGTGGGCCGCCCCCCATTGCTTCTTGCAGGCTGGACGTGCGGCTCAGTGGAGAGCGCCGCGAGTCGCCGAGCGAGGG